GAGGATATTAATTACTTGATATGTCTCTAAGTGAACAATCTATAAACCTGAGTTAAACAATATGTTCAGGAGATTAAGTTTTTTGGGCCGTTCACTTATTACGTAACGTTTTTAAGGAGGAGGGGGGTCTAAGATTTTTTACGGTTTAAACAAAAGAAACTTTTTTCATACAAATTTTGTTACGAGGGGGAAGGGGGTCTTTTTCGCGTTACGTAATAAGTGAATAACCCCTTTGTGGGTTTAGCTTCATATTATTTTGGCCATTCATGTCAAGTTCCATAGAATTTTCATACAATTTGCAATGGTTAATGCCTTCAAAAACATGAAAAATTTAAATAAATTTCAGTTCTATGAAAGGACAACTGCTGCTTTTTATTAATACAAATAAAGAATTCATTCATAATTTTTTTTTTGGACAAATATTTTCACGACATGAAATGCTCACAAAAAAATTGTTTTTTGCATTGAAAATTCATTTCCTTTTGAAGCCTCCAGCTGTTCATCCCTCATCGGAAGCTGCAAGAAGAAAAATTATGATTTTCTTTTGAAATATTCAAAGAACTGTTCCTTTCATGTGGCATATTCAGCAGTTAAAAATTTATTTGAGTGAAATTTTGTATTCAAAAGATGATTTTGTGTCTGGAACATTCGGAAATAAAAATTTGCTTCTCAATTGACATGATTTAATTTTTTTATTTGAAATTTTACACTTCCTTGATGCTGTCTGCCTTACCTTTTCTTAAATGATGTAAACTATAAATTAACAATACACACGAGTCAATTCGTTTATTTTTCTGCTGAAGTTGTGTTTTTTTGCTTGTCACGATTATCCAAGCAGGATGAATTAAATTGAATTAAATTGGGTATGTAAATAACAATACACTCCCAGATATCCGTCATAAAAAAGGTGTTGTATGACATCAAGGAAAATTCGCGACAGAGTTTTATCTCCTAAGTGATAAATCAGCATCACGTATTTTCCTCGTCAATTTACCTTTATTGCTCCTGAGAACACTTGAATCTTTATAATTAATTTAAAATGATAAGATTTCTAAAATGAATCAATATCTTAATTAATGCTTGCAATGGCAAATCCCTTGAAGTTATCCCTCTTTTTATAAAATATCCAACCGTGCAGCTTCAATTAAAAAATCTCATTTTAATAAATAATAATTCCTTTTTAGAAACGTCAAACATTTAGGGAAGATCTTTAGCTGTGTTAACTTGAAAAACTTTATGAAAATGGTAGTTGGGGTATCAAATTATAATTTTTAAAAGCAGTATTTTTATTGCAGATATCTTTAAATTAAGGCCTAGTGTTAAGCATTTAGACATTTTGGTTTAGTAATTATTAAACAAAGAGATAGTCTGAAGCTAAAAAAGAAGCTTTTGTTACGTATCTTTGTAGAAGAATCTGAATAATTTTTTTATGTCTCATGTATTTAGATGAACCTTCTTCTCTTGACCAATAGCAATGAACTCTAGAAATACATGGGAAAATTCATTTTCCACAATTTAACTTTATTTTGTTTAAAGAAAATTGTCAACAGTATCACATTTTACAACCAAAGGTATATTAAATCACAATAAACAAATCAAAATAACAAGAGAACTCCCTTTGTTCCTTTCATCAACACATCATGTCCTGTTGAAATGAGAATAAATTACTTTTTTGATTCCTCCCATCCATCAGAGACTTTTATCAAAATTTACAATCACAAAGATTATATTTTAAAAAAATTAATCTACAAAATTTCAATTATTCTTGATGTAGGTTGACAGAAGAATTTTCATCCATAACAGGTAAAGCTGTGCTAAAAATAAGATTCAAAATTATGTCTAGAATTCCTTTTTGATTTAGGATGAATGTAAAACATTCCAAACACTTAATTATGGATTTTTTAAACTTTGCTTGAATAAGAAAAAGATTTAAAATATATTCACAAAGATTGAAAATTTTGTGTGAATATGAAATTATGAAAAAAGTAATTTATTTCCTTGTCTCAAAAAAGTATCAAAAAACTGCGAAACTTTAAAAAATCAAATTTCCAGGAAGAAATCCTTCTGTACTAAATTGTTCTTTGAAGACGAATAATTTATTTATTAAAAAAAATTCAATTTCTAAGGCTTCATTAATATTATGAGAATTCTTCTAAGTAGTAAAATTAAACGCAATGTCGAATATTTTTTTAAAAGAAGATTGGAGACACGTGTACTGATTGACTCACACCCAATTTGCTATTTTCGGATACTAATAAACCAAAATTTTCGCCAATAAACTTTAATTTCAATTTTTTTATTATTTCGTACATCTCAGAATTTTTATTAAACTTTCATAAAACCTGATAGGCACACCAAAAACGTTGGCCTTATTTTCTACAATACATAAATAACTCATTACATCTTCATATTTTTTATTACACTTAAATCACCTCAGTGGATATTAAACACAACTACTGAATAAATAAATTAAGTATTAAATACAAGTTATGGGGTTGTTCTTAAATGATGTTCAGATTATAATCATAAATTGAGATTTTTAAGACCTACTTGACACAATTGACTTCTGAAGTTACTAATTTACAAAAGGCAACAAAAAGTAAGAACCCGAATAGATCAAAGCGTATAAAAATCTCAAAGACACTAATACAGTGTGAAGCTGACACAAACATCAGATTTTTTTAAGACGTCATTTAAGAACAACCCCAATGTGAAGTTGATGTTAATTAAAATCATATAAATAAGATTAAAATACAATAAACAGCAACAACTGCATTTCACTGCAAATTCAATTTAAATATTCAAATGAGTTTCAAATTGAATTCGTAGCGAACAATTTAATGCGATATTGAGCAACATGTTGGAACTAAAACTTTGAGTTGAGATAATGGAAATCTTCCTTCCTTTCCAGTTCCTTGTGCTTGCAAAGTTTCATTTCCAAACCATAAAATAAATAAATAAATAATTACTTTAGTACGTCTATATTTTAATTAAAATTAGGTAAATAAATAAATAAATAAATTAATCATTTTGACTATGGAAATTGTTCGTCTTTCTCGATTTAAATGGACAGGAATTTTTCTTGTATAAACAAGTCTCTTCCAAAGAAGGGGGAAACAATATGATGAGAAAAAGTTTTGAAAGGAAATTTCCATCAAATGTCTTTAATAACAATGAGAATTTAAAACGAATTTAATAAAAATTTCCAATCAAAATATTTCCCCTTCATGTTGTTTCCCCCTTGCTTTGAAGATATTTATGTTAAATGCAGTTTTTATTTATTTTTCTTATTTTAACGATCAATATTAAATAAAAATTTTACATCCTCTTATGCTGGTCCAATTATGAAGACGAGATTTTTCATCTCATGCTATTCTCTCATGACTTATGACCAGCATTGACCCGAGCAATATTTATCAAAATGAGGATTATTTTGGTGGGTAATCATCTGGGGCTAATTTTCATAATTTTAATTATTTTCCTTGTTTAATTAAGATTGAAAGAAAATAATTTGAGACCTGAAGGTTAATTGTGCCTTTATTCTTTAAACTTCAGTCCACGACTTTACGGTAAAACCCATTTCTGCTGTGACTTAAAATTCCAAGAAACAAATTTTGCTACGGATTGACACCATTTCTGATTAAAATTCACAATTCCAGTTGTTGAGAAATGCAAAATCATTGAACTCAATGAAATTGACCTCGAAAATTAAAGACTTAGCCAGTATGTGGCTTGACAAAAACCAATGATATTAATTCAATTAAAAGTCTGAAAATAATGAAAATCTCTTTCCACACAACTTCTGATAAGGTCCGATTACTCTTCTAAGAAGTATCAAGACTTTACGCTCGAAAAGTTAATAATTGGATTGTGTCGGTTTGGAATTTATTAGTTTTTGTCGAAAACTTTTCAAAGGCTTAAATTTTAGATACAAATCATCTCCAACAATGTGGAAAAAATCTTCCTACAGCCTTTATTGTTAAGCTTTATAAGAAATTAGCTTTTACCAGTATCAAGTATAGAATCTGGGGTATCGAGTTTTTATAGATAATTGTCCAAGTGCAAAATAACAAGAACTCACGACAGCATAAAACCTCTTTCCCCATTACTTGTTGATGAAGAAACATTTTAAATAGCCTAAAGTTGTGTTCAAAACTCATCGACACTTGCCCACTTGAACACTCGTGGGAAATTTCAGAACTATTGAGCAGCATGTCATGGCATTTGATATGTCATTAAGAATAGCTTTTACCAACATGCTGTTGACAGGATAATTATTTTCAGCCCTAAAGTGTATTTCTGATTAAACTTTCACGCAATGTCTCGTTCTGTTACTCAATGAAGAGTAATGACTTCTGTTACTTTATTTTTAATTACTTCCAAATATTATTATGGTTATTTGCACAACACATCAGTAAATCAGTGTTCAGAATTAATTAAAATATTTTGATGACAATTAAACTTTTGTCTTGAAAGATTCATTGATAATTATTTACATTTTGGAGAAATAAGCACAATTTTGAAATGCACAGTTCAATGATTCTAGCATATTTAGGTCATATAAGTTTATGATTGTCAACGTAAGACTTGAATCAAAACTTATAAGCATGCTTAAAGGTCAATAACCTCTTTGAAAATGACTTAATATTTTTAAATTCTACTGGAGGTTAAAATGAGGTTATGTCAAATTCTAAAAATTATTTTATTGCTCGGGATGATATTTACTGACTATCTGACTTCAACAGCATAATTTTAATGATGATAATGATGCTGATACAAAAGCTTAACATCTTAGGGGCCATTCACTTATTACGTAACGCTTCTAGGGGGGCGTAATACAAATTTTGTTACGAGGGAGGGGGGGGGGTCTAAAAAGTCATTTTTTCGCGTTACGTAATAAATGAACAGCCCCTTATGAGATACATTTATTGATTATTTGGACAACAAATTCCAAAATAATTAATTTCGATGACTTTGTAACTCAATTAAATGTCTAGCTCCTACACGGAGAGTTTTCGTGCTTGTACTAATTTATTGATGTCATTATATGTGTTTATCATAGCTGGTCCACTCATATCATTAAATGTCAAACACTCTTTGTAGGCAATTTCGCCTGAAATAAGAATAATTAAGTGAAAATTGAGTCAAATGTAATTAGAAATTAGCTATTTTTTTTACAGAAAGAAAGCACTTACACTCCATTCCATCTTGACCATCCTTTGCTGCACGCATGTATCTAAAGAAGCGCAAAATATCTGGGTTATCGGATGTAGGCTTTCGTAGTTCATTCAATTCACTGTAAAATAAACAAGATAAAAGAACTCGTTTTATTCGAAATTGGAAGTGAAAATAGAAAAAAAATAATCAGCAACTATGTATGTAAAAATGAGACTGTCACAAATTAAAATAGTATTTTCACATTTTTACACGTCATGCTGATAAAAAAAGATATAAATTGACGCATTTAATTTACCGACTTAGCTGTGCTGATACCAAATTACTATACGGTGCATATTTGGCTGGATTTGAGTACATTAAGCATACCAATTTCGCGCGACATTTCTCATCACTCATGGCGCCAAGACCCAGCTGTTGGAAGATTGTGTCGAGTCTCGATAATAATGGACTGTAAAACGGATCATAATTCATAAGCAAATGCGACGATGATGGAATGTCATGGAAAATTTTGAAGTCATCTTTTTTCGATGAAAATCCAGTCGTTTTCATTTTCTCGACCATTTCGACCTTGTCGAGTCCGAGACGTGTAATTGCATTGTTTGCTTGTGCTGACTCATACATTTGTGATGCAAAGTTATTCTTCATATCTGCTTAACGGGGCACGGAATGAAATTGTGAAAGAGAGAAATAAAAAGTCAATTCATTAAGTTTTATTACAAGAAAGTAGGAGAACGGATTGATTGATTTTTTAAGCTTAAATTTTGCTTCTTTTTTGCGGTTTAACTGAAAGTTGCTAACTCGCAAACCTTTTTTCTTTCTAATTCGTCTTTGGGGTTGTTCATAAATGATGTCTACATAAATAATACCTGCCCTCTTTCTCCCGTATGTCTCATAAAACTTGACTTTTGCATAAAAGCATCAATTTCCTCTCAAAATTGAGCATCATTTATGGACAGCCCCACTGATTAATTTATAAAGTAAACACACTCAATTTCACATAAAGCAAAAAAACTACTCAGCATTGATATTATAGTCATCATCATCATCATTCATTTATTCAATTCGTATGTCGCGGATGAATAAATTGAAAAATAACGAATAGAAATGATGAGAAGAGATTGACTTTCACTGCTGCTTACCTGGTATTGCATATTGATAAACAGAGTTTAATGTCCCTTCTGGATCGCTGTCGACATTTCCTGAATTGTCTTTAAACTCTAGGTCATCAACTTGCTCAACATGTGCGTTTTGGTTGGGATTTGAAAATTGTGAAAACTGTGAAATTGTTCCTGACAAGGATGGCAATCCTTTAGCTGCGATTTTTCCTACTGATCCAATGATGCTTGGCAGGAAGAGGACTAGTAAGGCTGTTTTTACGACTTGGAATCCGATGAACAGGGGCCACATAAACTTCTTCAAACCTTAAATGAGGATTAAAAGTATTTCGTATAATTTGGGGGTTATTCACAAATTACGTCTATAATTAGGGACATGAAAAATTCGCTCTTTAATGCTTTGCAATGAGATTTGCGACTATTGATATTGACATAAATAAGAAGAGGTTCAATGACTTCCAGATTCCAACCTAGACCTCCAGTTAAATTAAGATTTGAACCACATCTTTCAAGATGTTCCTGATTTTATACAACAATGTAAGGCTATCAATTTCTTTTCTACAGCAACCCAATAATCAATATGAAGGAACCACAACAATTAAGTTAAGAAGTACATTAAACAACTTCGTCATCGATCCACTTCAGCTCAAATAAATAAAACCTATTTAAATAAAATTAAAATGCTTTTTCCAATATAATCCACACAACTTATTTTTACATTATTTCAAATGACCATAGAACCATATTAAGGATGATATAAGATAAAACCAAGATATATAGATGTGCTCATACAAAAATATCGCAGTTTTTAAACGTCAAAAATTTGAATTTTCTAAAAACACTAACACTATAAAAGAAAATTTTCAATTTTTGTTTTGCAAAATTTTCAACTTTCTGTTAAGTTTTGTTGATACAGGAGTATTGCAAATGCTTTGCTATAATTTAAAGTAACTGACTTAAGTCAAATGTTGTTGCATCTGTCGATATTTAAATGAAAACTTGAAAATAGAAAATTTTAAAAATTTTTGTTTGTATAAGTACACAAAAAATAGTATGGTCGAGTATGGTCAAGTATACTCTGTATGAGCCCATCTATATATCTTGGATAAAACTTTGATTTAGAGAAAGGCACAAAATTTTGTTTGTCTGTCTCTTTTTTTGGGACTTTTGTTGCCTTTCTTATTCAGTTCCGATTGTTTATTTACTTTTTCTATTGTGGCAATAAAACTTTTCCATTTTGTTTAGGTAAACAACCAGTTTGTGTCGATGGAAGAAATTGGGAGACAAACTTTTAAGAAATTTAAAATGCCGTCATCCTCAATAAAATTTCAGAAATCCGGATTTGAAGATTTAGTCATTAACATGATGTGTAAAACGAGTTTTAGCTTTAAAGTTTACTATAGCAATAAAATGATGTCAGAAGAATTTATTTGCGTGCCTAGCATATAAAAATTTTCAAAACATTAAATTAATGGAGGAGAATCTCCATATCCATTATTTGCTTACTCATTGAACGCAATAATCCATAATCTAATTCACATCTAAAATTCTAATAAAAATGCAAAAATTCTCACGCAAAGCTATTTTTTACGAAAGATTTAACGCCTTCCATGTGCTTTTAAAAAAACAGCAACAAGATTTATGGATCACAATAATCACCCCCCAAAAAAATTCCTTACCTTTGAAGAAAAACAGACGTCCGGTTGCGGTCGATGCACGTGCCAAATTAACTGTCAAGACATGATTATTTGTGAATTGTTGGATTTTCGAGATTAAACTCTTGTCAGCTGTCCTGCTTTCCGCCTCATCTGAAGTGTTTATTTTCTTCTGAATTGCTATTCCAGGTAAGAGATTTATTGTATCTCGTTTAAGGATATCATCGACATATTCAGATACCACATCACTAAGTTCCTGCATGTCGCTCACATAATGTTGTGAATTTTTAATGCTGTGCTGTTGATTTGTCGTCGTTGAGTATTTACTCTGATTTTTATTATTCTCTGATATGTTATTTACATAGCTATTGTCACTAGATTGTTCACAATATCCGAGAGCTATTAAAGGAAGCAGGAGTATCACGATTTTAATACAGTATTGATTCATTTTGTTTCGGTTTTGTTTACAGGAAATGAAACTGTTGTCAACTAATATTGATGACAGATGCTTTCTTGTTATTCCAAATTGTCGTAATATTGATGAAGTGGGTGGCAGCTTTCTTAATTGCCTTATTGTACGATATCCTAATATTCCTATCTATGTAGTTATAATTAAAATGAAGTTTCTAGGTTGCAGAACAATAAATTATATAACAAAAGAAGACTCAGAGGATGAATCATGCAGAATTGCTTAGCTTCTAGCATTTCATCTCGACAATTCTTTTTAATGGCTTATTTAACTATCTCTACAGCATGCGTTTCTCTCGGATTTTCCCTTTCACATTCTGTGTTGAAAGTAGTCTGAAAATAAAAAGTTAAAAAAACTATAATTTTTTTTTGGAAATTATAATATAAATGTAGCTATAGTGAATGGACAGTAAATAAGAAAACTATAGTTTAAGTAGCCGGACATAGAAAGATTTACTTAATATTTTCAAATGACACTAATGAATGACAATTTATTTCTTTATTATCGACACGTTCAGCATCACATTAAGATAACGTTAAACACGCAAGTCATTGTACATTGCTGATATAATGAGCATAATGTCAATGCTGAAACATTAATTTTCTCATGACCTTGACTGATGAGAGTAGCTGATCATGAGACTGATGGGTTTGAAGATGTGAAGACCCCCGAATTTAAATAGGTTCTAAAAGTAATTTTTATTTTAATCATAAAAAACTAATTTTGAACCCTTCTTCACCACAATAGGTATTGAGGTCAACCCCAAAGTGAAAGAAAGTCATAAGACGTTTAATCCATCCAAAAAGTTTCTGTCTACATCCCTAACACTTCTTCCCTGTTCTCGTTGTTGAGATTTTCAAGACATAAGAAGATAAATGATTTTTCTTTTCATTTCCGACGTAGATCCTGTTATGAATAGTCTAATTGACAGATGCTTTTTACTGAATCAGAGAAGAGCCATTTGTCAGCACATGTTATGGATATTTCATAAATTTTTTTATATAAGTATTTGAAGAAAGTTGTCATCATATATGGAAATAAGTTACACGTTTCTTTACAAAATCTCTTGTAGCTTAAGTCTCCTGAGATATTTTCGATATGTTTGACGTTGAACAAATTTCATGGGAATAGATAAAAGGACGTAATGCACAACAGTTGGCAATGAATACATTATGATGACTCTTATCGATTTAAATATAAACGTAAAATCTATTGATGGATGATTGGATTTTATAAAGTGCTTCTTATTCAGCACAAATTGATCAATAATTTTCCATCATTTTGTGTACAGCAGATAGGTTCAAAGGTAATCTATCAAACAAAGATTTGTGCTATGGCTGAATGCACGATAAAGATATACAGCAACATGAAAAGGATTTATTAGCTTATATCCCTTTCAAATGGGAAGTATTTCGAGTTGATAGCGTTTAAGTTAGCTTTACACTTCTTTGATGTGTATGAAGTGAAATGAAGTTTTAATAAGCTTCTGAATTTAAAGGATACTTAAATACACTGTTGCATCTTTTATAGTTGACGAGGGGTTGCTTTAGTTCATCAATTAACAGTCAAATAGATTACACGATGCACTACGATTTGAGGTTATGAGCTCTTAATAAAGATAACGTCAAATTGTATGGATTCATGGAACCATATATTAAGTTCTTAGGATAGCCTAATAAAGGTTTTTATTCTTGAGGTTGACCTATATGTTTATCTGAGATTTAAATTAAATCTCGAGATTTTATTCATATCAAGTCTAGGGATATTTAACTCTAATTCATAAGGTGACCAATTATGGAACCTTTAAAAGTGTGCCAATCTTTGCAATGTTTTTGTCAAAAAACAAACCCATGTGATTTATCAGTTACATGGCTGCGGAAATTTGATTACTGCATTATGTGCTGGGATATGAAGGCGTTGCGAAATTAGAATCCGTTGAATTTGTATACACAGCTTCAAGCACGTTTCAATAAAAATTTCTTCTTATATCCACTCAAAAAGTAGGATTTGAGAATGTTGTCGATAAAAATAAAATTCAGTATATAATTTAATTAATTCGCAGAGCAAAAATGTATTCGATTGTAGGAAGATGTAGTAATTAATTAAAGTTCGCTTCATGATAATTTGGGAAAGGTGAGGGATCATTTTTCATACAAGTTAAATTAGCTTTAAAATTACGATATTTTAAATGCCAAAAATCCATTTATTTCATTTGAGGCCCAATTTTAAAGGCCATCCCTATCCTGGGTCCATTTCTAAGTTTATGGGAGGAGGGTGGGAGGTGGTTTGCTGTTATGGCGTTTTAAAAGAATTGCAATTTATTTTGTGTATGGATTACCTTGGATGACCCCCAAAATAGATTCAAGGGCAATTATTTTCGAGAATAGCTTAATGTTTATTCAGATCAAGCCTTAAAATACTTTCAGATACATTTTGTAACTTAATATCATTATTTACTTATTAATTTACAATCTCGAAAAAAAAAACTTCAAAGATATGCATTCCAAATGTTCGATAAGTTGATAATAAGAAGTCAATGGAATGCAATAAACAGCCAAAGACGTAAAGCTGATTGATATGTTATTTAGATTACAAGTTGAAGCAACTTTAATTATCTCAAACCGCATGCTGCTTAATTAAAAAAATTTATTAAATTAACTGTTCAATATCATGATAGAAATTGGATACACGAACATCATAAAATTAATTTAGATCGTAAATAAAAATTTTGAGGAATTGTTTTAAGCATCTTGAAAAATAGCACAATGATGCTGTAAAGTTGTGGATCTATTAAGAACATGAGAGAGCAAATATTTGTCATAATTTATACGAAAATTCATAAATATTTTCCATTTCATTGTTCGATCCATGAAGCAATGATGATTCATGAAAAAATGTGAATTCCATCCAGTGTTGAAATCTGCCTATACTTCTGCAAAAAGACACTTTCTATATGAAGAATTTATCTTCTGCAGATTTCTGTCTGCATGTAGATTAAAAAAAGTATCTACATGAAGAATCTATCTTCCAAAGAATTCTGTCTTCCACAGATTTCTGTCTGCATGTAGATCAAAAAAAGTGTCTACATGCAGAATCTCTCTTCCAAAGAATTCTGTCTTCCACAGATTTCTGTCTGCATGTAGATCAAAAAAAGTGTCTACATGCAGATTCTGTCTTCCAAAGATTTCTGTCTTCCACAGGGTTTGTCTGCATGCAGATTATTATATTTTGATATTTAATAAATATTTTTAAATCAAAAACATAGAAAGATTTAGGATACAAAATAAAACAACGAAATTAATTTTGCAAATTAATGTGGATTCTTCTTCACTTCCTCTGACAAGTCTCTTTTATAAAAAAATGATCAAACATTTACGGGCTTTTAAAATTAATAAAAAGGGTTTTTTCATTTAGATTTTCTCGTTGTCAGAAAAATGCTTAATAATAGCATAAATACACTGAGTTACGCTTTTTATTAAGTATTCGATACGCCAATAAAACGATAGAACTGAGAAAACGTAGAAGGCTACGATGTCTGGTTGCTTCTATCTCAATCAATAAGCTACCTTTTTGAAATAAGTTTCAAAAATGCACTAAAAATGGATATTTTCAGTAACATACACACAATTTATCCACATTCACAAAATCACCATTCGCCACATTTGTCATCAGATTCATGAAAAGAAAAAAATATTTTGAATTAGTGTTTTATATTTGATTAAAATTAAGCTTCTCTGTCAGTCCAATTCGTACATTTTTACGAACTCTGTAAACCGTTACCTACAAATTGTAAGAAAATATTTGCATTTCGAGGTAATCGGGAAAATTTGAAAATGATTTGACCGTTAAAAGTACTTATTATTGTTAATTTATTGTAAAACCACACTTTTTCATTAAAATATAATAATCTGCATGCAGACAAACCCTGTGGAAGACAGAAATCTTTGGAAGACAGAATCTGCATGTAGACACTTTTTTTGATCTACATGCAGACAGAAATCTGTGGAAGACAGAATTCTTTGGAAGACAGATTCTGCATGTAGACACTTTTTTTGATCTACATGCAGACAGAAATCTGTGGAAGACAGAATTCTTTGGAAGACAGATTCTGCATGTAGACACTTTTTTTAATCTACATGCAGACAGAAATCTGTAGAAGATAAATTCTTCATAAAGATAAAATCTTTTAAAGATTCTGTAGTCTTTGTCTATGGAAGACGTCTGTCATTTCAACACTGATTCCATCAGCTGGTATCATCACTCTTCCTACATGCATGATAGTGTCAAAATTGTGGAATTTCATAAACAAGACTGCACACAGTAAACAAAAAACAAATTTCCATAAACAACAGATCACAATTCATGTTCTTGAAGTATAAACATGCTTGAATCTTCAGCAGCATGTAAAATTGTCTTTTGTTTTCCCAAGTTTTCAGTAAAAATAACAAATGAGCCACTTCATCGCATACAATACACTTCCGTTTTTATGTTTGTCTTTAAAGACCAATGTTTGGGAATATATTGGATATACTGAAGCAGGAAATAGATGTCATATAAGTCACTACAATGTATCATTCTGTTTCTTATGAAGTTATCTATATGGAAATAAATATTTATGTGCTACATACTTGTGAGCTACTTGCCAGAAGCACAATTTTATGGGCTTATTTTGCGGATTGTTCATAAATGATGTTCATTTTTTTAAAGGAAGTTCGAACAGTGTGACAATCTCATTCAAAAGAAGAATTTGTAAAAAATTGGGCATAAAGCTGTTCATACTGGCTTTTCGTATATCTTGTTCTGTGAAACATTGTTAAAATCGTAATTAAAAATTTTCCGGAACTCAATGCGGAAGGGATAGGACTTTAATTCTATAAAATTTCTTACCGTTGCCAAGATTTTTTTAATGATAATCCTTTCCTCGAAACCCACCCTTCACTCCATCTTGGTTTTATAAAACCCTTTCTAGCTCAATGGTT